ATTAAACATCAAATTTTTGATGTCATTATATGACATTATATGATTCTAATAAATGTCATTAGTAATTATGTTGTTGCGAATTGTAGCAAAAATTATTTAAAGCACGTTACGTTTGATTTTTCACTATAATATTTTTTTTTTCGGCTTTGTAATTGTAGAAAAATAAGATGAGAATAATGAATTTACTAATAATATTTTATTTACTAACGAAGCTGGATTTACAAGAGATGGTATTACAAATTATTATAATGCTCATAATGGTCATAATAATAATAGAAAACAGATATCAAAAGTATAACAGATTTTTCAATCCTATTTTATCATAACAAATGTTCGTAATGACCACCATTCATTTCAAGTCTCTTTTCTATTATTATTATTATGATCATTATGAGCATTATGATAATTTGTAATACCATCTATTAAAATCAGCTTCGTTAGTAAATAAAATATTATTAGTAAATTAATTATTCTCATCTTATTTTTCCACAATGCTATCACAGAGTCGAAAAAAAAATGAAAGTGAAAAATCAAACTTATACTTGTTTTAAACAATTTGTGTCACAATTCGTAACGTTATAACTACTAACGACATTTATTAAAAGCATGGCAACTTGATTAATTACAGAAGGAATTATCAAAAATTTGATGTTTAATAAAACTTTAATAGAGATTTCCTGCCAAACGGTTACATTTCTCGGCTTGAATAAAGAGTTCATCATTTTTTCTGATGTTTCTGTTTTCAATAACGTTGCAATTTCTGGTTGTGTAGCATGTGAAATAAGTTATGAGTAAAACAAATTTTGAATTTTAGGTAAAGTGCCCTCTAGCTGCGCATAATGAAAGTTTTCTCTGACTGGTCCAGTAGAGCTTGATCTGTTTAGTAGGTGTGCCAAATGAGATACTAATCCAACATTATTTAAAAAGAAAAATTAAAAAATGAACTTTGACAAGCTGTAACTTGCAAACAATTTACAATTCGAAGGAAAAATTCATTACGTACTGTTTAATCCCTAGAATTACCTCCTCGGAGTTTCAGAACACCCTGTATAATACAGTACTATTACTACACAGAGAAGGCTTCATCATTAAAAAATTAATTAAATTATGTCAAAAATGTATCAGTTACCACCGATATTTGGACATCTGATAGTAATAGGGCATATGTACAAGGTGGACCATGGGAGCAGGAAATTTTGAAAACGACGTATTTCCGAAAGTAACTGTATTTAATTAAAACAAAGTATAGCATAATAAGATAATTGTGTGCCATTTTCATTTCTTAAAATATATGCCTGCTAAATGGCCTTCTCTTCTCTCCACACACTCTTGAAGCTGAACGTTGAAATTCTGCATAACACGACGCAACATATCCGACAGAATATTAGCACCCTAATTTTCATTTTCAGCTCCTGAATATCTCGCAATTTGTCAATCAACACCTTGCTTTTTATATAGCCCCACAAAAAGTAGTCGCATGCCGTAAGATCTGGCGATCTTGGGGGCCATTCAATGTCTCCGTGTCTGGAGATAACACGACCTGGAAGCAATCTTCGCACTGAATCCATTGGTGCTCTTGCGGTATGTGAAGTAGCGCCATCTTGCTGGAACCAGCTATTGTTCTGTGGAAACATGTTCAGTTGCTGTGTAAGGAACTGGTTAATCATGTCAGTATAGCGTGCAGCATTGACTGTTAAAGCATTTTCATTGTGGCTGTTGATTAAGTTCTTGTGGATTTTCCAAAGCCCAAGGGGAAGGAATGATATATGTTGTCAACGTCGGTCGTTCGATGGAACGGAAGAATCTCAGCGTTAATCGAAACATCGGTGATTTTGTTGTTATTTCACTTTGACCTTGACCTTGACAAAAAAATGTCACCTGCATTTGTTTCTCAGGTAGGATGCGCTCAAAAATTCTAGCTAAAGCACTTCACTATGTCCCACCTTAGCCAAATAGGAAATTCCCGGGATGGTATTTCTAAAAGGTGGCAACCTTAGATACAAAATTTTTATGCGTGTGGTATGGCTCGTACATATGAAGCAATGTTGCGCTATGAATGCGTCTAACACTAACTACATCAATTGCAAATTTATTTATTGAGTAAAATGAAATAAGGCGTTTTTTATAAAAACGTGATAAAAATATATAAAATTTATGTAATTTGTATTTATAAATCCATTTTAAATAAAGAAATATGGTGCAGTAAGTTTCGTTTCAGACTTTAAATTAAGATTATCATTATTTGTTTGATTTTTCGTAGTAGGTTCAAGATGAGAAGTTTGAAATATCCTGTGCAGATAGTTTAGCTATATACAGAGTGTTTCTGAAATACGTGCGTTCCTTGAAAATGGTGATAGAGGGCACGAAAATGAGCAACTTTTATTAAGCAACCGATGGTCTAAAACATTAGGTTTTAAATTTAAAAAAAAAAATTCACATGAAGGTTTAAACAAATTTAAAGCCGTCCATGGTGGGACAGCCAGCTGCCATATCGAAGTTGCCATGAGCCGCAGTGCGAAAGCGCTTATGGCGGTTTTGACGGTTTAAATTTTGTGTTCGATAATGCTGAAATGTATTCAAATCTCAATTAAAAATAACACAAAAATTAACGAATTACTTACCAATAGATGATTTGCTCTACAAAAATTGATCAAAGTTGTTTCCATGTGTTAATAAACATGCTTCCAAACGATGGCCAAAATTAGTCCGCATACGTGCAAATACTCCCGGCATTTTGTCGAATTTCATTAACTGCAGCAAAAATACGCTGTTGAAGATCTGCTGCGTTCGGTACACATTTTGTTTCACAAAAAGCCGGACTTCGTGCTGGCCAACGTATAGGTCCATTTCGTCTTATCCACCTTTCCGGAAAGTTGGTATGTAAAAATTCACAAATTACACGAGAAACCTGGGAAGGGGACTATATCCTGCATGAACAACATTTGGGCATGGATTTGTAAAGGCGTTTGTTAAAAAACTCTAAATAAGCAGCACCATTTAAACGTGCGGGTAATATTATCGGACAGAGTAATCTGTCACCAAAAACACCTCACCACACATTCTCTGAAAACCGTTGCTGGAATCGTACAACGTGAGGATTTGCATCACACAATAGTGAATGATGTGAAAATTTAGTTTGCTGTCTCTAGTAAAACAGCATTCATCCGTAAAAAAACACCTTGCTTGTAAAATCCAGATCTTGTGCTATTTGGTGTCGAAACCACTGGCAAAACACACAAGACTGAAAATCATTGTTATTTAATGCCTGAACCCTTTGTACATGACAGAGGTGTAATAATTATTCCCATAGTTCCCATAGTACACGCCACACGGTACTATTAGATACACCCACTTCTCCACAAAGTCAGCATGTTTATGGTTCATTTTCTTGAAAATTGAAGCATTTAGACCATCAGTTACTTGATAAAAGTTGTTCATTTTCGTGCCGTCTGTCACCCTTTTCAAGGAATGCACTTGTTTCAGAAACACCCTGTATATTAACAACTGTAGTAGCAATATTTATAATCCGTAATTGTATGTCGCAAAACATATTAAGAATGGAAAATTATAAACTGTTTTTAGTCAGTGTTTACAAAGATACGACCTTGCAAAATTCTAAAATTAATTCTGAAATTTCTTAGATTCCGAAAAGATTTGAAATATATGTTTGAAACATACAGGTGTAATACAAATCGATTCGAGACATAATATAGTCAGACACAGACACAGATTATTTAATCTGTGGTGAAGATATGATGTAGTTAGTGGGTCATTTCGTCGTTTCTGTATTTAAAAAATAATAATGGGAATTTTTTTAACCACGTTATACAAATTCTGTCTAACTAAAACTGCTTGTAAATTTTTAGCAGGAGGTATTGTTTTCGAAATATTTGCAACTTTCTCTGTAGCAAAAAGCAAGGAATTAGTACACAGATGAATTAGTGGCATATTGGACGATAAATTATTTGAAATAAATGATTAATAGTAAGTATTTTTATAAAATTTCTCTCCTAAATCGAAATTAAAAAACATTTTCCACAGCATACACAAATTGCATAGGTAATGGCTTAGTCGTCAAACGTAATAGTATATTACGTAATAAGTGTTGTAAAAAGCATTTTACGCACGAATGGAAAAGTTACGCACGACGCCGCGTAGCGGCGAGTGCGTAATTCTATGAGTGCGTAATTGCATTACACCACGTATTACGTACTATACTTTACCTACGGCCACTACTTTAAATTCTTAAAAACACACCGTCTGCGATCAATGCAAGATTCCTATTACGTCGTACGGTAAAAAAATCGCACTGCTTGGTAAAAAATTCGTACAGTTTTCCTAGCAACCGCCTAGCAACGGTCAATACAAACAGTATTGTATTGACCGTTGCTAGGCGGTTGCTAGGAAAACTGTGCGATTTTTTTACCGTACGTAATAGGAATCTTACATTGATCGCAGACGGTGTGTTTTTAAGTATTTACAGTAGTGGTCGTAGGTACAATTATTTTACTTGGGTTTAGAGCAGAAACTTTATAAAAATTGTTTACGGGTCTTTGTTTCAAACAATCAACAACTTTTTAACTCAAGGATATCAAAAATTGCAATTATGTAGGAAATCATACATCACAAAAAAATGTACAAGACATTTTATTTGTAAACTTAGGACTGTTACTTCGAAAAATTATACATGATTAAAAAAAAGATTCGTACTCTTAATTTATTAGGTACCTAACATACATATACATATAAAAATGATATTACTAACCCCATATCTACACCATTGTTTATTTTATTTTCTTCGGCGATACCACTAAATTATGTCCCGAATCGGTTTATAAGTTTCAAGATGTTACTTCAAATCGTTTCGGAATTATTATGAAATTTCAAATTTCATTATCGTAATATGCTTTAGGACATGCAATTACGATATATCCTGTATATAATCTTCAGATAACATTGATTTATTATATTAACTATGTTTCGAAATTTTATCATTTTAGGGTCATATTCCATCTTTAGCAGATACCTCATCAAATGTAACGTTGCGTTCGCATTTAGATCTATTTGTTTACTTGGTACATTGTAAAAGTTATCCAAATGTAAGATGTAAATATCCCAATTTAGACATTTTTTTATTTAGACAAAATACAGAAGGAGAATACGCGATGTTAGAACATGAATTGAAATATGGAGTTGTAGAAAGCTTAAAAATTATCACACGAAAAAATACGGAAAGATTTGCAAGATGGGCACTAGAGTTTATAAAACGAGAAAAAAGGAAACGGATGACAATTGTTCATAAAGCCAACATTATGTGGGTATATTTTATTTTATTTAATATCAATTACATAACATGAAATATGTCACACCTACTAACAAAAACTATAGATTTTAATTCTAATTCTTTCCTTTATTTAAAATAGATACTTATTTGCTTATTTGTTTTACTAAACAAATATGCAACAGAGTAGATACTACATAAAAATTCTTTAAAAAAGTAAAAAGTTAAAAAAGTAAGAAAGTAAATAGTAAAAGAAAAGCCAATCTTACACGTTACAAAAATTATATAAATTCTGTAACAAATGAAGCTGACTAATTTAATACGGTAGAGTACTACATTTTGCAACTACTTACTCGTATAATGCGAGACGAAATGAAAATACGAGGTATCCACGGATCTGAAGGTTAGTGCTATCACAGACAATATATGTAGCTTAGAGCAATAAGCTATATTGTCTGTGGTGCTATACAGTGTGTTTCAGTTCGAGTGAATCAAGCTTTAACCACGAATATAACTCAATAAATAATTCAGAATTAGGGTCTAATAATAAGTCTCACCGTTTTCACTGTACAGGGCTGTATTGGTCGGCTGTTAAAATCATATTATTTACGAAATCTTTGGTATGCTTATAACAAATTGATTCAAATTTGGTGTGGTGTTTGCATTTGCACAGGTGCATAATTTATTTTGTAGGCCAGTAGTGTAGGAATGGGTAGTAAAGCGGGATTTTTTTTACCCCAACATCTACGTCAATGACCTAATAATCATTTGGGATTCATTTTTAGATTCCGTGGACAATTCTACATAAAAAAAGGTAGGTACCTATACTTGTTGAAAATGGGTATAGTGTATCGTTTTACCGAAAATCTCAGTTGAATGGGAGACCGTTCTTCCGAAAAGACGAATATTCAACCTTTTTTTTACAAACACTATTTTAATATTTCAAATCTTAAAAATAAAATGACAGTTCCAGATGACAAATAAGTGTATTGTTGCTTAGTTGTTTTTTCATGGCAATCGTTAGTACGGATAGTGTAATGGACGCACAGCGCAGATTTAAAATTATTAATATGTAGATGTAATTTTTTGAAGAAATTATATTTGTTTGAAACTAACTGACTTGAATGAGCAGGGATACCTATAATTGCTTCGGGTTGGCACAAATGAAATTTTAGTGGAAGTGCCATTGAATATACTGTCCACCGCACTGTAGTGCAACAAAAAAAAAAGATCTTACAGGGTGAATTCACCACATTACGAATGCGATAAATAATACACAAGATATTATATTTAGAATTTACCAGTCGTTTCGCCGATGTAAAGATTTAATATTGTTTTGAATTATAAGTTAATGCGTGACATTATAATAATATTAATTTAAAATTTATTTCCTATCCTTAAGAAACTAAATTTCTTATAAGGAAAACCATCTCCCACTCAACTGAGATTTTCGGTAAAACGATACCCTATACCGATTTTCAACAAGTATATATTTTTTGTATGTAGAATTGTCTACGGAATTTAAAAATGATTCATTGGCGTAGAAGTTGGGGTAAAAAATCCCTCTTTACTACCCATTCCTACGCCACTGACCTACAAAAATTATTTGTAAATTTTACAGTAAATTATGCATATGAGTAAATTTAAATCAATTTGTTATAAACATATTAGTCCAGTAACCACGTGAATTTACCTGGAAAAATGTGCGGAAGTTTTGATATTTGGTGATTATACAGTGTGTTTCACTTAAAGTCGGGACACCACCGGAAACTTGCAAATCAATGTGGATGGAAGAAAGACAAAAATGGTCTTGTCCATCTGACTACACTCCAAGCATCTGCTTCAGAACTACTTAAACTAATTTCTTGTAAATGCAAGAAAGGATGTCGGGGAGTATTTGGATGTAGAAAAGCAGGGCTCAACTGTTCTATAATTTGCTCAAACTGTGACAATAGATGTGATAACATGCCCCAAGCTTTGGAAGATAATGACGACGATAAAGGCACGGATACGACTTAGCTTAGAACCACTATGTAATGAGATCGATACAAAAAGTAGAGAAGAAGCTACTGCGCCAGAAGAATTCATCCCACACGACTCTGACACTTCGTTGCCTTCAACTATCAAAAACATCGATAAAACTGGTCCGTCAGAGTAATTTCATTTTCATTAAGCCTACTGGGGAAGCCACAGAAAAAAACGCGCCATATACTCTACCTCATGGTGGTGTGGAAATAAGTATTACTTTTCACTGCATGTTAAATGGTAACCTTTGTTAATCTCCTATCCAAAACGAGTCGGTTCTATGAAAAAAATGGTTAGAACTTATTTTGTATCAAATTTCCTGGTCTTTAATTTGTTACATAACTATTTTTGTTATAAAAGCAACGAGTAACGAGATATCTTTAAAAATCTCTGTTTTTACCAATCTATGGCGGCTCCGGCGGCAAAGATACGAGGTGACAAATAAAAAATTTGAAATAAGAAGCTCAAAATACGTAAAACTGCAGAATATCAAAACTTCCGCAAAAATTTTCCAGCTAAAGGTAATTTACAGCACGTAATTACTGGTGTTTTCCACAAAGATAAATAATTTCAAACATGTAATAACTGAATAATCTAAAGCTTATCAAATAATAGGAATGATATGTCATGCCATCTGGGTATTTTCGAATACGCCGCAGTAAAACGAATAAACAGGTGCAAAAAACGATCATGACATATTCCAGCTTTCGAGCGATCTTCAGGATTTTCTAACGCCCTGTACATTCCCAGACGTCGTCCTGTAACCGCGGACATGCCTGAGGCCATCAGGTTGGAAAGGAGGCGAAACAGCCTACCTTTCCAATCCAATCAGAAAAGTCCCGCCTCCGCGCCGACGCCGGCGCCGTTGCCGTGCCAAGCGACGGGTAATTTCACCGCGGTACATTTTTCACCATCGGACTCGATGCCGTCCGAGACGCAAGTCAGCGACTTCGCATCTCAGCGCAGACGTCGCCCTATGAAATCAAACCGATCCCTCCGGCGATAGCGCCGCCGAAGACCAATTTCACCGATGTTTCCAATCTCTCCAACACCGCGGCCTTTCTCGCCCGGGTCTGCCAATAACGCGATCTGTGCCTATAGCAGCGACGTCCGCAACCTGAAGACGAACCCTGGCGCGCTCGAGGACGATATTTGGAAACAGACTCATCTTTCCAATTGGTCTAAGGACGCTATCGCCCATAATTCAAGAACCGTTTGAGCGATCGGTCTCAAAAATTAATGCAGCACTCTTCAAGTCGCTGGCATTACCGTATTAAAATTTCGTCCGAATCGTATGAGCAACAACGCCGTTATACGGGGAAACGTGGATTTTACGCTTTCCGCGTTTTCAGCCGTTCCGCTCATACGATCTCGGCCAAACCCCAAAATCACAGTAGAGCTTCCTTCTGTGGTCAACATTTCCAAATTCGAACCGAATCGTGCGACGACTAACGGCCAGCTAATCCAAAACAGGATCCTACGTTTTCTTAGCTTCCGTCGGAAGTGTCCGCACCATCTCGGCCGAACCCACCAACCACGGTGCTACACTATGCCGTGCATCACCATACCACTTCTGAACGAGATCCATCCAGTATTAAGAACACCATAAGCCCTGATGCAGCTTAACTGTTCACCATAAGATAAATTAAATGGACTGTATCTTCTTTTTTATTATAATACTGGGGAAATTATGAGCAATGTAAAGTTTCTATCTTTTCATTTATGTTGTCAAGTGCATATATATTTATTTTCTAAATTCAATTCAGATATCTGCTTTTTTATAAAAAACTCTGTTGCTTAGTTACCTCAACAATTTATTTATTACAGAACCACAACATACACCCCCGCGTTGAAGTTTTATCTTCAACAAAAACTAACAATTTTATTTAATCATTAATCATTATATGGAAAGAGGCAAATTTTAGAAATTGATCTTGTAAAAATTCCTTCTTTTGTTTTTAATTTTACTAATCTCACTCTATTATCAGCACTGGGATTCACTTCAATAATTCTTGCGCGTGGTCAATTTAAAAGTGGAATATTGTCTTCCTTTAATAAAACTAAATCGTTGACTTTTAAAATTTTTGAAGGTATGAGCCCTTTAGGTCTATTTTGTAAACGATTAAGATATTCCCTAGACCATCTTTTCCAAAAAATTTGTTGAATGTGAGCACATTGTTGCCAAAAAGAAGAAGAAAGTCTATTTTCTGGAATATTTCTAGATCCGAGAAAATTCATAGTATTGTCACTGTATATTATTGTCGGACTCCCTCTTCGAGAAATAAACCTTTTAAGAGTTAACAAAAATGATTCAGTAGATACTTGATACTAATTCAATATGAACTGCCTTTGTAACCATGCACACAAAAATTACAATGTAACATTTCATAACTGGCGCCTTACGTAATCTTGAGGATTTTATAAAAAATGGGCCACCATAATCTACTCCTATTCTTTGGAATGGTCGCGCTATGGAAACTCTATTTATTGGTAAATTTGCCATAATTTGTTGACAAGATCGAGTTCTAAATCTAAAACATGTAATGCAATTTTTTATAATTCGCTTTATTTGTCCCCACACAGCACAGTGACATTCGTAGGAGTAGGGTGTTTTAGCGGTTTCAATGTCTCCCCCTCCACTTTCTGGCTTGGGATGACCTTGAGGCCGAAGGCCAATGACGATGGTGTATGGATGACCTTGAGGCTGAAAGCCGAAAGTGACGTAGGTTGGTGACTTTCATTTGACATTGCATTGCAGTTAACCTTGAAATTAAATTTGAAATATGTCTATCGGTGTGGATAAGTATCTTATGAGGGTGTGGTGACCTTGAGCTAGTTCGAAAGACGAAAACATATCACATTATGTGACGTCATTTGCTTGATTTACGTTTAAACAGTGCATTTAACCTTGAAATTAAATGGTTGTTTTAATGTTGTGCATACATTGTGACGTGGTGCAGTGTATTTTCTATATAAGAGAGGAGATCAAAGTGAAGAATTACATTTCG